AAATCCGGGTTTCCGATTACGATTTTGCCGTCAACCAATCCATTCAGTATCATATTTGGTGACTAAAAGATCCATTCTTAACTGATTAACTCCGATGAAACCACAGTTTTACATTTTTTGGAACCCCAAACAGGGGAACTGAGAACGAGTAACTCAGATCTTCCAGATGGACACCCTGACTAACCCTGGTTCTGCCTAAAAGGTGAACCAACGAGGGGGTTATACATTCCTTGTGTGTTTTGGTCGTGGATTTTGAGAGGAGTCTCTTGGTTGACAGCCGGACTCGGCATCAATGAAAAATATATAAAAATATGGCAATCGGCAGTGCACAGACCCCCTGGGAGACGAGGTCATCAGCTTTGTGGCTTGAACATGTGGGGCTGCGTAAAATAATCTGGGCAATGGCAATGTACCCACAGAAGTGGTAATGTTTATTCATTTTTAGTATGAAAAAAATCATTTCGTGGAATGATGAATTTCACCCATATACAAATGTTTTAAATGTATATATATATATATATGTATGTATGTAATGTAATGTAATGTAATGTAATGTAATGTAATGTAATGTAATGTAATGTAATGTATGTATGTATGTATCATTTTATATCATCCTCTGTACTCATGTTATTTAACCATGCTATCCATCTAGGGTCTGGGAGGACTAGCTGAATCGGCTCATCGTTTACAACCACCCGAGGTTGTGGGGCGGCTTGCAAATACAGTGGGTATCTTGGCGCAACTGCTGGTACCCTTCGGTAAAGTAACCGGTTGCGAACTGGAAAATGGCCATAGAAATAGTTGATTTACTGCATTTATGCAGCTATAAACTGGTGATTTTCCATAGTTTTTTGTATGTTTACCCGAGGGTTTTTAAGGTGAAGGCTTGAAGAAGGAGGGGTCAGGGATTGGCCACACCAATGGAGTTGACGGTGAAAAGTTGAAATGGTCACCGTTCTTCTGTTGCCAATATTTGATGTGGTACAGGGCAGTACAGGGTGTTGAAACTTCGGCCCAAGTCTTTATCTTTGGCTGGGGCCGGCCCCATGGTGTTTTTTTAGCTCTGTAATACATCAATATACATTATGTGTCTAATTAACATTGATTAATTATATATATATATATATACATAATCAATACAGTAGGCTTGATGTAATGAGGTTAAGCCATGAGAAGTGACTGATGACGTCCAACAATGAGTTCTCAATGTAGCACTGGTTGATGTTCCCAACTGGAGGTGTGATCCCCAACTGACTGACTATTTGGTTGGGATTGACCCCCAAAGCAGATCTTTGAAGATATTTGAAATGTGAGATGCCTTGCCAGTTGTTGTGAGCACTGTCATGATTGTTGCAGATTTTAAGAATGCAGCGCACCCGTATCCTTATTCTCATTCCCACCATCATCATCGCCACTGCGATCATGAGCATCATCATTCCACTACTCCGTTATTCCATCATTCTATTCATTCCATCACTCCATTTATTCTGACGTTCCATTACTTCCATCATTCTTCTTATTCCATGATTCCAATTCGTTCTATCATTCTATGCAATTTCACATAATTTCATCATTTTATTTCATTCTGTTCATTCCATCATTCTTTTAACTCCATCATTCCATCATTCTATTTATTTTTGTACATTCCATCATTTTATTCACTTGATCACTCGCGATCATTCCGTTTATTTCATCATTCGATCAATTCCATCATTCAATATATAATTCAATTTATATAGATATGATTCTATTCAAAGTGCGAATCTAGTTCTATTCTAGTCTATCCCATTCCATTCTGTTCTCTTGATCATCATCATCGTCATCATCATCATCATCATCAGCATCAGTCCACCAAGCAGCGCCAACCAGGGCACCTTGATAAAGCATAGACCAACAAAATACCCAAGCATTGGTGATGATTCTTGACATCAAACAGGTACTCCCAAAGGGGGCAATTTTTATCAATGTTCTGTGTCACGACATATCACTGAAACCAATGTGGTAGTTTCACATTGTTCTATTGAGCATCCAGATGTTCAATGGGTGATGATCTACAAATGGAAAATCGAAGGTGAGGTAGGTCATGATTCGATTGCACCGCAATATTGACAAAATAGATCAACATTTGTATATATACATTTGTTAAATTTTGATGAAAACAACCCAAGCCAATAACCATGGGTCCAACAGACAACTTGCATACCTTGACCTAGACCAACTTGTATCACCGATGGCGCCGTGAAACGCACGTGACACATGTGAACTAGGCTGGGCGTTCCATGTGTCCATGTCATACCGCAACTTTTAGCTGGTGGCTGATGCCCGTCTCAGGAAACCCCGTGGATGCAAGGAGGGCAGGTGCGAGCATTGTGATGGGAAAATGATTTCAATATATTTCAATCGCCCACATTCAAAAATTCAACTGCAGCACTTGTATGTCATTCTCTGCGTGGTGAAGGTTGCAGAAGGCATGCTGATTGTCCGGTGGAAGTGATGGAAAGCCCCAACTGGGACAATACATTATGCAGGACTCCAGTTCCAACCCAAATCTATCATGATCTATTATGATCTATTTGCCTATGTGGCAATGACCCACAAAACACCCAGTTGTGTAGCTGAATAATTCATTTATCTCCGAATTTACTTCCGAAAAAAAAAGAAAAAAAGTCTAATGTGGCTGAACTCACTCATAGACTCATAGATCCTGCACATTTCCCCAACACATTGTCTCCCCATTCACCGCCTACACGTGATTCGCTCCCGGTTGTTCCGCGGTAGGAATTGCGATCATTGCCACCTGTGCCCGTGGAAACGCACACGTGTGGACAAGGTTCGACCAGGATGGGTCAAAATTTCAATCTCAGGGGACCACAGATTGACTTGTCATGACTTGTCTATATTTTGTCAGACCATTTTTGGGGGTGCCCAATTTTGACCCATACCCCCCCATTTTATGATGGGAAATGATGATGGATCATTAAATTTGGTACCTTATTTTTCAGACAACCCCACCTTTATTGTGCAAGAAGTAGCGATTCATAGTTAGTAGCTGAGTTTAATAACCCCCCAAAAGACTGAGATGTATTGGGAGCCCAGTTGCAGTACTTATCACAATCACTAATTCTGGCAACACCTGAATTGTTGGGTTTCTCTCGCAAAGATAGGGATATCATAGAACTTATTTAGCAATCAAGATTGATTGTGTATTTTAGCCATCAAAATGGAAAATGGGAATCCCACACAAAATGACAATTCAATGGTGAAAATAGGTTGAGTAGCCAGTGCATTCCAAAGGAGCCAAATCCAACTCTTGGATGGTCTCCCGAACCCCTGGGTATGAAGTGGGTTTGGACAATTTACTTTTCAGCTTTTCACACCTAAAAAAGGTTCCAACACATTATATAAACAACACTTTTTTTAGGTTCAAGGTGGCTGAAACCCTGGTTCCGCTTTGAAATAATCACTGGTTGGTGGTTTGGAACATTTTTTATTTTTCATAATATATGGGAATAATAATCCCAAATGACTAATATTGTTCAGAGGGGTTGAAACCACCAACCAGCATGGTTTGATGGCAGAGATCATTTGCTGGGGAAACCAATGGAACTGACATATGGGATATGCCACCGACCACAGCAAGGAACATGTACATATAGAATATATATATATAAGTATATATATAATATTACATTATACTAAATTGTATTGTATTATATCATATCTCATGTCATGTCATGTCATGTCATATCATATTATCTGATCTTATATTATATTATATTACACTATATTATATCACATATATATATATAACATGCTGTCTTTTAATCGCCTCACATTTTTTTGGTCATTTTCTGGTTCTGTTGATTTAAGAAGATTATAGGAATCCTCAATTAGATAGAACAGTGAATTAGCACTATTTCAATAGGGATTTGTGTGTTCATTTTTCTGGGGATAACTCTGTATATATATATTTCATATGCATAGACCTGGAATCGCCCATGGATCCGAGGTTCATGCTTTGAAACCTTCCCAAAACGCCCTCGGGGGTCCACATCCTCGGGTTGCCCCAGGCCCCAACAGACGGTGGTGCAGGCTGACGGCTGGGTGAGTTTGAAGCCATGGCTCCAATGTGCCCCAAGTCTTTCAATGTGATTATAAAAGCCAATATACATACATACATACATACATACATACATACATACATTCATACATACATACATACATGCATACATACATACATACATAGTTACATACATAGTTACATACATAGTTACATACATAGTTACATACATAGTTACATACATAGTTACATACATAGTTACATACATAGTTACATACATAGTTACATACATACATACATAGTTACATACATACATACATACATACATACATATACATACATACATATACATACATACATATACATACATACATACATACATACATATACATACATACATATACATACATACATATACATACATACATATACATACATACATATACATACATACATACATACATACATACATACATACATACATACTGGTACATACATACATACATACATACATTCTTTGTTTTTTTGGTGATTATAAAATTGATCGCGCAACGTGGTAATGGTCAACTGAGGATGCTGCATTGTTGGATTTACCACTGAAACTAGCTATAGAACGAAGAAAAGTCGGCCTCCCTGCTGAATCTTCAAGGATTACAGCTACCACAGCACCAGACCCAACTTTCCATGTGTCTTTCTGAGTTGGTTGGTGCTTCTTCCTGTGTTGGACGACTACGGTTCAACAGCCCCCAATGTATATATAACTATATATGTATTATATATAATATATATATGTATTAAACATGTATTATATATACATATATATCATATTGCTTAATAGAAATGATGATAATCTTTCCATGTTTGCGAAAGAGGCTCATCATGTTCCTGTGTTGTCAGCTCCATCTGGCGATGCTCTCCCACCTCTTGAGATCACGTCGAACACGATCCTTTCTGGTGGTATAACAGCGAAATCGGGTAATTTTTGCACAGTAAATGTTGGTAAATATACCAGCACCCCTTTATGGATAATTTGGGGCTAGCCCAGAGCCCATTTGCTCGGATTTGTGTTTTTGTTGATTCACCTTTAAGGCCTTTTAGGTGCAAATGTTTGTTGAGTTTTGTCATACGGAGAAGTTGGACAGAAGAGCATTGAGGATGCGGATAGTGATGATATGATAATGCTAGTTCTGATAGTGAATGATTGGGATAATGGATTCGGACAATGACTAACACATGATTGGGAAACTCATCTTTGATGATTCCATTTTGGAATTGGGATACGGCAATTCGAGGGAATCTGGAGCTAACCATGCCAGAGCACTCACGAATCCAATGTTGTTCCTGACTTCATTATATAATTATATATATATATATTTGCAAAAGTCGAGAAACAAAAACATATCCAGAGGATTTCGAGTTAAGAACGACAAAATTGTTGTGTTGCATTTCGGGTCTCATTTCTCTTGACCATAGTTTGGGTCTTGCTCAAATTGATGTCCGCCAAAACTGGGCCAAAACAGATAGCATTGAAGAGCTAGTGTGGTGGTTTGCAAGATACCCTCTGGTAATTTGTTACATAGCTATTGAAAATGGCCCATTTATAGTTGATTTCCCCATGAGAAATGGTGATTTTCCATAGCTTTTTGTATGTTTACCAGGCCGGGTAATTTCACCCCTTAGGGATGGGGATACCCAGCTGCGCCGTGCCCCATCCAACGCATTGGACTCGCCCCGCCAGGACGTTATAAGACGCGAAGTCGAAAGAGGCACAGCAATTAGCTGCCACAAGGCGCCAGGCGCAGAGTTGACGATGGTTGAGCTGATGTAAAGTAAAGATTAATATATATATATATATAGAGTTATATATATATATGTTGATGGTCGATTTGTTTTTTGCCTTAAGTCATGTTGGGCTTCCTCAAAACTTTGTTTCGAAACCATTTCAAAACGATCGGTTGGGAACCAATGATATTGCTGTATCCAAATGTCAGATATTTCCCAAGTACTTCCTGAAACATCGACGGAGCCCGCTGCTAAGAGCAGAATTTGAACACGACTTGCCCATGCAGTTGATGCCATGCCAGGCGTTTGCTAGGATGGAGTGGGGCATTAAAAGTCACTTGAACTGCACATAGAATGACTGGTTGGATGATGTAGGGCTGGTGCAGTGTTGTGCAGTGTGATGCGGTGTGGTGTGATGGTAAACAGCAAAACATCGAAATATGTTCAAAAGCTCAAAAAGCAAGTGGTTGTGCTCCAGCGCAATATTCAACCTGAGACCCATGTGGAGAACCTTTGGTCAGAATTAGGAAGAAAAATGGGAGCGAATCCCGAAATCCCAGGTTCTCAGATGGGTTACTTCATGTTACGTCCTATCATAACCATTCAAAATTTGAATCCATTTGTATCCATTTGTGGTTTTATCTTGCAGTCTTGCTCTTTTGTCGTGCCCACGTTTTGCGGCCCAGGTACGTCGCTAGTCCAGATCGATTAGACAAGAGCCCTTGCTCTTGGTGCCGTCAGGCCCTGCAACGTGTCCAGGTGATCCATATTCACCCGGGCCAGTCGGGGCACCTTTCCTGGGTACAAGCTGGGGCAAGTTTTGCTGAGAACAAATATGAACAAATGAAAAGAGGTCACCTCGCTCGAAGATTCACCAATGGAATGCGGACTACATGTCCCGGCAGAGAGAGATTGTGCGATCTTTCAGGGCAGATGGTCCGTGGATACCCGTGGAGTTTAAAAACACCTTTCCTACTGGCTGGCCAGCAGGTAAAACCTGTTCATGGAATGGCTGGGTAAGCGTGGTGATTTTTTTTTGGGAGCACCCGGACTTCACAGTTTGGGGCCCTGGAAACCATTGAGTGCGAAACCAAGACTCTGGTCGTTTTTCTAATATGTTCCAATCAGAAAAGCGATTCCCTCTGAAATTATGATTGATTGAGATCCTGGTGGTTGCTTGCTGGAATGAACTGCCAAGGGCTTTTGATATACAAAAACAACAAAGACAAATCGCAAAACCAACTCAACAAAGCTTGGCTCTTCATCCAGCTTGGAGTTTGGTTGGAGGGTCCCCTCCGGAGGTCCGAGACGTCCCTTCTGGTTGTTAGCATCAATGCATACACCATTCCATAGCGGTCTTTGAAGATATAGTGACCTGCGCTCGAGGTCCGCGGATGCTTGAGGTGTTTGGAAAATGCTGAGATGGCCCCCCCCTCTGTTGAATCTGGTTGAATCCTATGTGACACTTGGTTCCAAGATATCTTGGACTTGTCTTCCTCAGGATTGGGGAATCATGAGGTCACAACTTGTCAACTGCGTCATTGCTGATACCACTACACCATCCATGTTTGCCACATTAATCGAATGATTTGCAGAGAATGTAAGTAGGTCAAATTAAATGTGTAGGCCATGTAA